GCGATTCAGCTCCTGCTGCTCCCCTTCTTCCCTGAGAGCCCCAGGTACATGCTCATCCAGAATGGAGATGAGAAGAAAGCAACGAAAGGTAAGAAAGTGCGATGTCATCAACATAAAAAAAATCACACCTAACAGGCTTAACATATTCTGTTCATTTAGACCATATTCTGTAGAAGGTATCCCTCGGAAGTTTAAGAGAAAATGACAATTTTTCCATCGTATATGTCTCTTGTACAGAATGTATCCAATCTTCCATCGTTGGTGGTTCAGGCTTAAGCCACCTCCTCTTAAGGGGCTTTTTACTCGCAGCCAGTAGCATATACAAAAGTCTTCTATTGTTAGAATTCAATTTATCCACTGGTGTGTTACACAAAAATCTCAAAGGTTAAAGGGAAAACAAATGAAAAAACATTTTGTATATGTTCATGGATTAGAGACCAGTACTGGCGAATAACTTTGCAATCCCAAAAGATATGGAAATGGTTAGCTCCATCTCCCCCACATCTCCAACAAGTATCACCAGTTCACCGGTATCTTTGTTGAGCAGGGTTGATGAAAAATCTCTGTGGTGAGCCGTGGTCGGCGGTGCCGTGCGGACGCACCTTCACGGCATCCGCAATCACGCCTGCCTGTTAAAACACGGGGACTCGGGGGTTGGTGAATGATGGTGGTGTTCCTGCAGCCGTGGAATGAATAAAGATGGCTCTCAATAACAATCTGTGGTCCCACCGTGCCTTATTCACACCACACTGGTGCCGAAATGCAGGGTTTCACCATCATCATCACCACCATCATTCACATTTCGTACATAACTACACTACACATCGAAGATAAACTGAGCATTTATGGTACTGTGTGCATTTCCACTCTTAGCACTGCAGCGCCTGCGTGGGTGGGACGACGTGGACAGCGAGCTGTTGGAGATGCGTCAGGAGGACCAGTCCGAGAAGGCCGAAGGTCACCTGAGTGTGTTCTCCCTGCTGTCCCAGCGCTCTCTTCGCTGGCAGCTGATCTCCATAGTCGTCATGAACATGGGCCAGCAGCTGTCGGGTGTCAATGCGGTGAGACGACCCATCCAGTTCTCCTCGTCCCTCACACAATAACTCAGTTTCAGGATGCATGACAACATATATGTTCTTGCTTATTCACAGGCTGTCGTGTTATAACCATGATGCATTTCTCTCTTTTCTCTCAGATCTACTACTATGCCGACAGCATATACGGCTCTGCAGGAGTCAGGGAGAGTGACATCCAGTATGTCACAGTGGGAACGGGAGCAGTGAATGTCTTTATGAGTGTAACTGCTGTAGGTACCCAGCAAAGCTGAGGGGAGGAGCTGTTTGTGTGTCTGCTGTTTGATCATGTGAGATGGAGATAACCACTGTGAACGGGGGTTTTGTAATCGCAGGTGTTCATCGTGGAAGCCTCAGGTCGCCGCCTGCTCCTCCTCTGTGGTTTTGGGATCTGCTGCGGAGCCTGTGTGCTGCTCACTGTCGCACTCAACTTGCAGGTATCGTACAGACCTGTCAGCGCTACTTATGCCTGCAACCTGCCACTCTGCTGCCCTCTAGTGGTTCAGTTATTAGTTCCCCAACCTGGAAAGATTTAGAGGAGATTTGCAAGACCCTGTTTATGATCTCAGGATCAGAGAGTAACTCTAGATTGATTTAATTGCAGCTATAGTCTAAAAATGTACAAATTATAGTTAGAGGTGAGTTTGTAAATGTGAGCTGCTTGTAATTTTAACAGCATTTCACATGTTATGCTTCCATGTTACTAAATTTAAGTCATTTGACATTGTTTAGCATATTTTTGGATAACCAGGACACTTTTCTTTCCCAACAGCAGCCACTAAAATCCTCATTCCTACAAGGCTACAGCAACAGGCCTTTAAAATGTTCATCTTAATCTGTGTGATTTTAATTTTCTGCTCTCACCTACACTTTGTCCCCACTGGGTTACAGCTCTGTTGAATAATTAATTAATTAAGAGCACTGAATAAAATTTAACATTATGAAGGCATTAGTCCACTC